TGTTTGTGTTGAGACAAGAATCAACACTGATGTATTTTAAAAGTTAGGCTCATTTATTATTCAAAAACTGTGTATAAATGATAAAGATTCTAAAACTTAAATCTGGAAAAGTAATTGCGGCGAGTCTGACAGATCAGTCGGTCCTTGTCCTCCTCCTCCTTCTTTCCTTCATATTTAATATCAAACCTGAGCCACAGCCTGTTTCTCAAACACAACATTCATTATCGCAGCCCAAGCTTCTTTGGTTTAAATATTTTTCATTATCATCCTTCCTGTTAAAACAATACCTTTTGTTGCTTTAGGGTACACGCTTCCCTCTTTCACAACTACTTGGCCGCTTTCTCCACGATCAACCTCGAGGCAAACATATTTCCTTGGAGAGAGAATTAGTTGGGTTTGCAACTAGCATGCATGAGCCAGTCAGTTGAGAATGATTCAGATTCACTAACACGAGCACATTCGTACGAACAACATTGGCTGGTGGCACGTGTCAAGAATCCAACAGTAATTTTGCACGTGCATGTTTGTTTTTATAAGAACATTTCTACGCACTTATAGTGAATGAAGCCCATTGTGTGTATGGTACCAAAACCCAAGTATCTCACTGGCAGAGATAAGGTGGGTTAGGTAATTAGCTAACTTGAACTAAGGAAGGAACCAACAACCTGGGCATCTGTTTGTGTGTTCCCACTTGCCACAGCTATTGAGAGGCAAGACCCCTCTATCAGCTGATCAATTACTTCCGGGGTAGTTCTATGATATGGGATACTGTCGTCCAATCTAGTGGACTGAACAATGTTGCCTCTTTTTTAAAAGGTGTATGTTGAATAGTGACAATCATTATCTTCATTAGCTTTAACACTTGTGAATATCAAGACTAGAGGCCGACCTGCAATAAACAGATGGCTGTTTTTAATTGGATGACAAGAAAATCTTCACGTTTAAAATGCCCCCTAATGTCATAGACCTAACAAAAGTGCAATCGACACCTTTTTCTTGTTTACACGCCCATTTTTCATCATATAAAAAGGCTGTTTTCTTGGTCTCATAACTGTAGCCTCAGTGGGTTGAGTTTGGATGCAGTCAGGATTCATTTCACTTCTGTTCCATCTTTAACGAAGGTAAATGTGGTTTTGTATTGCTTTTTTCTCAGGGCCTTTCAGCCAGACATTAAAAGTGAGCACTAATACATCAGCAGAAAGTTTGAAAGTTTAGACTGACCAAATATGAAGGGTTGGCAGGCTGTTGCTGGACATATTCAAACACACAGCTGCCCATTTTGAAGTGATGGAACATTTCCTATTTGATTTGGTAGGTAGACGGCAGTGATCCAGCCCTGCTGGGGGGGGGGGGGTGTTGGGCTGTGAGCTGAAAGTCTTTTTCACCACTGTCATGAAGGTATTCATTCCTAAATCAAATAACTCACCAGTCAATATTTCAGAACTATATATGCGAGTCACCCCTATAAGGTACAGAGAAGCCTCAAGATGACTCATAAGGTTTAGAGCAACCTGTTTTCTCTTTTTTAGAAGCTGTTATTTAACTTGGAATTGACTTGCAGTCAATGACTCAAATCCCAACTTCACCGTGGCAAAAGCAGACCCATCCTTCACACTAGCCAGTGTTTTTTACCTGCCAAGGTCTATTAATAACAGTTTATACTTCTGCTCTGACTGAACTTTGAAGAGTCATTGCCAGACAACTTTTGTGTCTACTGTGTACCTACTTTTATACCTTTTTAAAGCAATCAAGTCGTACTAGATGTCCATTTGAACAGTCGACTGCTACAGAGAGACACGGCAAACCACACGTCTTACTTCCATGCACTGTATTTATTTCAATGTGAGATGTGGTCTTGTTGAAATGCACAGTACCACCCTGGAACCACCCCTCCAAGCCAGATCAATGCGCTTCATCCCTCATCCGTCCACATGGCACTCAAAGCCTGTTCTGCCACCCAAATTACTGCTCTGCTGATTCATAACATTGTTGGAACTGGCAGCGCACTGTACCCAAGGCCTTCTGAAATATCACTGACAGACCGAGCTGTCAACCCGGATATATCTATCACCTGGAGAGCTATGTGGAACGGACAGCTATAGCCAGGGGTCTGTTACAGCAGCGTTTGTCAAAGTCTGTATCTGGACAGGAAGTTCCCCACAAACATTTCAAAGTCTGTTAGGCTTCTACTTGAAGTGTGTTCGGACGATGAAATATTGTTCCATGTGGGTGTTGAGATGGAACTTTGTTGTGATACCGGCTTCATAACTGTTGTTAAATCATCAATCGCAGGTCTTAAAGGACGATGTTTATGTTTAGATCTGTCTGTTCATGTAGGTCTGTGCTCCCTTATAGGTTCAGATTTGATAGGGTTGCGGTGCCTAGAGAGGAAGCATGAGTCAGGTAACTCAGCACAAACGTGTGGGTGGAACATTCATGTTAACTACATCAAAAATATATCAGCAGAGTCAGTGTAGCTTAGTCTGAAACAACTCTGCCACTTCATTTGTGATCTGAGACCAGCTCCGTATTGGACAGATGCCATGCTTGGCACTGCTTTGCTAATTATGGGAGCTGAAAGGAATAAACAACCCCTGCTGTGGAAGGACGGTTGTTAAGTCCGACAGTAACAAGATGAAGTTTAATATAGTTTGTGGCAAAATAAGATTAGTTTTGCTGGAATGGCAGGAACACCCAAATCAGCTGATTGAGTTGAAAAGGCAGGAAATGTGGTCTGCATATCATTCAGCTCTATTTCTTTACAGTATTTTCAGTTATTTTAAATGATCAGTACATACAACAGATTATTTATGTTGATCTTGCTTCAGTAAATAGTGGAATATTATTGATTAGACACAAGCAGACATGGTTTATGACGTTTGTTTTTTCCCGTGTTGCTCGTATTCAGGTTTCTCAGGGAATTGCTCAACGAACTTCATTTCAATCAGCAGAGACAAGTCAGATAAAGAAAAGATAATTGTTAATTGTGAACAAATGATATGTGATGATATTGTCTTCGGAGTCTTTGGCGCAAAGGGAGATTTGTAATGGAGGGGCGTCTGCCCTGAGCAGCAGCAAGATAAATCCCCTCGTGGAGTCCAGACACTGGTGGTGGTGGCGGCGGCTGATGAGGCTGATAGAATGAGGAGTTGATGAAGCTGATGAATCTACAGAGATTGGGCGGAGATGGGGAGGTGGACGGTTGCATAACAGCAGCATAAACGTACTGAAGGTAGAGAGACGATCATGTTTAAGAGAGACAGCAGCAAGATGATAGGCTAACGATGTTATTGTGTCATTGTGCTATTGCAAAGAGACCAGTTGATCTAGACAGCTGATATCACGATCAACAGCCCTGAGCAATAGCAGCAAGAAACTAATGAGTGTGCATGCGTGAGGAGTGATGGCAGATGTTTGGGAAATAAGCTACGGGCTTCAGCATGCATGAGTATAGTCTTCCAGTCTGAACTTTGTCTGCATTACTCTTTGTTTGCTTTTTTGTTTGTGCTGAATGGATTAGCATTAACTTTGTAAATCGCAGCATTTTTATTATCGATGGATGTTCATTTAAAATAAATAATGACGGATTTAAATACCCTTGATTTGCTCTCTCTTTGTTTCTGCCTCTACAAAGGCGACTGTCGTGGTTTCCAGTCCAATCGTACTTTCATCCATCCGGTCCATTGTCATGAATGTGATGTCTCAGGAACCATTGGAGGGAATCTTTTCAAATTTGGCATAAACGTCCACCTGGACTCCGAGATCAACGGATTCAAAGTGGTGGTCAAATTGGTGGACCTTGCAAAACACGTTTTTGGCCATAACTCAATGATTCATATGCTAATTATGACCATTAAAAAAAAACCTTTTAGGATAAACGATGAAGTGGACAGGATGCGGAGGCATAAAACCACGAGACAGTAACTCTAGTGTGTTGTTGCTCTAATTAGATCCTTAATGGTGTACCTTCGAATTACTGAAAGGTCATGCAACAAGGGCAGTTAATGCTGAAGTATCCGTCAAGTAAAGGCGCTCTTTAGATGTGCTCAGTGTTGATGGCTCCATTTAGATTTCTATCAGGCGTCTGTGTCTCTCCATTTATTGAGCCAAGGTCACACACACTGACGTATATCATGTCCGTGCTGGCGTGCCTGAACTCCACATTCACACAATATCTCACTGTTATTAACATGTTTGTACTCCACTCCCCATTGTATACTAATTTATTTTTGTTTTTTAAAAATACAACAAAAACAAGAATGATTTCAAGCATATTCTGTCGTGTTTTTTTATTAGCATAGAGCATGAACAGAGAAAACAAAAAGAAAAATAGGAAAAGGAATGTGGTGGTGTTGTTATGCAATTCAAGGTAACATGATAGATATAATAGTGAGAATGAAGTGCTCATACTCTATATATTGCAGAGCACCATTTGCTGCAAAGACACTATTTCATGTCTAGTTAAAACATTGAGCACAATGTAATTTTAATCTGACATTAAGAAAAATGTTCAATCGATGAGAAAGTTTCCAGACTGTGACTGTAGACTTCGTGCTTGGCCACACAGCTTGGCGACAGTCACTGTTTATGGCGCCAAAGGGAACCATTGAAGAATAATTCTTAATTTGCCGTAAAGGTGAATTGAATTGGATGGCCATTTCAATGAACATAAATTTCCCCTAATGAGAAGAATGATATTTGGCTAGCTGTGTGTCCTCTGACACGTGGTCCTTTTTCATACTGAATATCCTTCACTCCTGGACAGCTGTTTATCCTCCCTGGTCCACTAATAATGAGATGGAGGCTTGCAGCTTGGCTACAGTTCCACTACATCAGCACATTTGTTTTGATTTGTGATTTTCTCTGCTTCCTTTTTCCTCCCCTTCTTTCTCCATCTTTTCATTCTTCTTTTCCTCTTACTATCATCTGTTATTTTCCTCTCTGCCGTCCATTCTCTCTCTCCAACTCAATCATGGTCCTCCATGCTCTCACTCTAACAGAGGTAGTCCAGCTGAGCCTGGCGGAGGACCAGTTGTTCAGCGTCTCCACAGTAACAGTGGGCCTTAGTGCCGTCCTTACCTGTGCCATCCAGGGGACGCTGCGTCCGCCAATCATCTGGAAGAGGAACGGCATCATACTAAACTTCTTGGACCTGGAGGATATCAACGTGAGTGCATGTGGTTGTTTTCTTCATCGTGGTTCATAAAGTACTTTATCGCTGTTGGTGATGGTGGCACTGGAGATGATAGCGAGAGCATAACGTGCACAAAACAATCTGTTTGCTTCTCTAGCAGTCTGCATACTGGGCACAAATCTTGGTCCCCGTGGACGGCCACACAGGGTTCCACACTGATCTTTGTGGGATGGGGCCGTTGACAGAATTTGCGCCATGCGAACCCTTGAATTCAAGACAGCCCACGAGGAAGGAAGTGTGGCAGGAAAATAGAAACAGGAAAAACAATTTCAAGCTGAGGACGTCAGACTACAGGAGAAGCTTTACTCCCCAGCTCTCTTCATGACACCGTAGAATTATAGCTCGCTCATTGCTTGATGAACTGTGCGGCCGTGCTCCCGTTTAGACACGGCTGCCCAGGTGACAGCACGGCGCTGGCCTTGCGTTCCCCGCCACCGGATCAGAATTCGCTAATTGCATGTTAATGAGCGGCCCTATTGGTCCGCTGTGATGATGAGTCGATAAACAATGTAAAGTGTAAAGGTGGAGACTTGAGGGAAGGCGATGGTGCCTGAGGTCCCTCAGGCCCTTGACCGTGCATAATGAGTTTCCACAGAGCAAAGTGATCCGAGCGGAAGAGGGAGAGAGGAGCTCCGACTGGGTTTGACTTTCTGTTTCAGACAAATCAAAGACGAATCAGTAGACTGTATATAAGAAGTGGACGTAGTCGTGACGTCACTCATTGGTACTGTCATTTTATAGCCTTGAGTTCAGCATTTTGGCCGTCGCCATCTTGGTTTCTTGCAAGCAAAAAAGGTCAAGGGAGGGTGGAGCTAAATACAACTGAATGCTGAACAAGATATTTTTAGGCGACCAAAATGTTACCATTAACTGTCATGTACTGAAAACACACTGTGATGGTCTGTTTGACTCTAAATGAACATCATGCTGTATGAAGAAGACTTGAAACTAGAGATTGAGACCATAAACTCATGTTTACAATGTTTACTGAGGTAATAAATCAAGAGAGAAGTAGAGTCATTTTCTCATAGACTTCTATACAACCAGAGGAGTCGCCCCCTGGTGGACAGTAGAGAGAATGCATGTTTAAGGAACTTCAGCATTGACTTTTCAGAGCCCAAGGTTACCGCCTGGATGATATCAAGTCGTTGTCTAGTTGGTCAATTCAGCCAATTATAACAGCTTTCTCTTATACACAAGATTTTGTAATATAGTATAATTCCTGTCTAAATAAAAGATAAATTACCTAATAAGAATGTAGACATCCAAAAAAATTACCCAAAGTCCGTAAAAGTCCAATGTCCTAGTGGGTGCTTCATTTCCCATTCATATGGATGCTTAAAAGGTTAATTCAAGACAGATGTTAATGCAAATGCCATATACGTATATAGTGCATTAATAATTTGTTTTAAGCATATATTATATAAGCTAATATGATGCATAGGATCAATAGCACATGAATGATTTATCTATATGTAGGTAACTTAACTTAGGTAACTTAGGGAAGTGGACCAGTCAGCAAAAATTATACATAATTCCTTCAAATGGATATTTGACAGCTTTTCATTAAACCTTACATTGCACTCTACTACTGGGAAAAATCGATGAAATCTGCAAAATAAGGCCGAAAAGTTATTTTTATTTTCTACAAGTCGGCTTTGAACAGTGCAGGTCAGAGTGGCGTCGGGGCGAAAGGAGGGAGGGGATCTAGCTTTCCTGTCAAAGTCCTTTCAGTCCACCATTTCCCTCTATTGAACTGTGTTGAATGGAAACAGGCTTGTGTTCACAAGTTTCATTCGACAGTGATGGAAATCTTTCTGCGCTCTGGCACATACAGTAACCCTTAAACCTGAGAGCTGAGCCTCCATTACAATCACTCTCATTTGTCTGCTCTCTCGTAGTCTCTCTCTGCCCACCTTCCTCTCCAGTGTATTGTTTTTCATCGCTGTGTTCTCCAAAACAGTAACAGCACCGTGTGTATTGAAGGGTTCGGACCTGTTCCTCCATGTGTGATTGCTTGAGAGCAGAAGGACTCGGGCTGTACTACAAACAGACACAGCGGCTTACGCTGTAGCTGCTGCCGTCCATCAGCCAAAGAGTTCATCTTCTGAGTGCGATTGAAAACTAATCTTTACAAAATGTAATTAATATGTATATTTCTTTCATTAATAAAACAATTACTGCACAGCTGCTTTTAGTTGCGTGTATATTGGTGCCACTTGGTAAACACAAAGAGAATGTGGCTGTTTATTGCGTCGGCGTTATTCCTATCATGAAAAAGCAATGATGATTATTTGAGAATAGGTCAAAAGAGACGTTGATTAAGTGCTGAATCTGAAATCCAAAATGTCAATGAATGACTTTAATTCCATGTATTTGAATGAAGCCACATGGCCACAATCACGTATAATTCTTCCACTGCTCGTTTTACATTATAAAAGCATATCATTTAACCTGAATGAATAAAAAAGCCTGTAATTTTCTCTTATGAGTTTTCCTCTAAGAACTTCAGTACATTTTCATCAGTCAAAGTGAAAAAAATAACCATTATGTTACGAGGAGCTGTGCAGCAAACCAAAATCTCCCATTTGCATTCACTATTCTATTCAAATTTGGCAATTTCACCTATCAAGCCTTTTTGATATTGGCGCTGTCCCCAAATTGAAATTTTCCAAGTCGATTCTAATCGCCCAATTTGGTTATTCATCAATACACCTGTTCAGAATTATGAGATATACGATATTATCCGTGGCCTCTAGCCAGTAACACTACAGTCAAATGCACAATGCATATTGATGATCATTTGAATTTACCATGGAGTCCTAGATCCAAAATCCGATGAGCATAAAGAAGGTGAAATGTTTGAAAAGCTTGGATGTGCGACCCTACCACTTTGTTTACAGCATCACAGTAAAGTGACGTCATTTTCTGAACTAATTCTAGTTTTATTTTAGATCCTTTATTTGTCATTACAACCACTTTACTGGTGATTCTTCATAAAAATATAGAAAAACATATTTTGTGAAAGTACCAATAGTCAACCATACAATATCGTTTGCAATATCGATATTTGACCCATTTGGTCAAAAACATTGTGATGGTGTTCTCCATATAGCCCACCCCTACCTCTGTCTCAATAACTTCCTTGGTTCATACTTCATTGGTTTAAAGTTAGTTAGTTCACAAAAAGTCTGAAGATTCAACTCGCAATTTCAATTTAGAATTGGGGGCAACTCGACTGATGATACGAATAATCGCCGTTCAGTAGACAACCCTGCTGAATACCCCTTTTCTCACAGGAACCACAACTAAGAGACAAGCTTTTTAAACTAAAGCGTGTTCTGCATAACCTGCCAGTTATATTAAACTCGTACTTTTTAGCCCAAATGGCCCAATTCACTTTTAATTGCCCTCACCGGTGTAGTTGTATCCCTCACCTTAATCGTAAATTCTGAACTCTAAAGGCTGCCTAGATTCCCCCGTCCATTTCACGCGAAAAAGTCGTTCCACATTTCCCTGTCACAGAGCGACCCTCTGTCAGGTCACATTAACTTCTAGAGCCCTTTCCATGTCACGACGGAGCTGCATCAGGACATCTGCTCTGCCACTTTGGTGGGATGGCGAACTATTTAATGCCTTAATCCGCCCTAAGCTGTGGCTGGAACCCCCCTGGTGACTTCCGCATGCTGCACCAACAACAACCAGCTCCATTCATCAACCTAATGGGCTTTATATTTTTAACCCTTGCCATTTATCAGGCTGAGGCGGCGTGATGAGGGGAGAGAGGAGGATCAAATTCCCCAACGCCTGCTTCGGCTCAACAGGGAAACCATTGATTCATGGTCTCTCTTCCCTTTCACATCACTCTTTTCTCTCTCTTGTCTTCTCCCATCACTCCCTGCTGTTGTGTGCCTCCTCTTGCTGTTTTTTTTTTCCAAGCATCCTTAAGTATTCTATCAAGCTACCTCCATCTCTCCCTCACTCCCCGTGGCTCTTCCATGCACCACATTCTTCACCACTATTCCCTCCCCTACACCTCTTGTTCTCCCGCCCCCCCTCCCGCCTCTTCTTTCTTTACTTAATTTCCTTCCTCCATCTCTTTCCCGTATTACAGGACTTTGGAGACGATGGCTCCCTGTACATCACCAAGGTGACAACCATCCACATGGGGAACTACAGTTGCCATGCCTACGGCTACGAGGACCTCCATCAGACACATGTGCTGCAGGTGAACGGTCAGTAGTGGCTCCTTTCTTACTTACAGTGGTGGACAAAATGCTTTGGTTGTATCTGTGCTACTCTGTGGTTCCCAGGTGAGGAGATGTTTACCTACTTACTGTCAGCGCCCGTGTCTGTCTCGAAGGCAATTAAGCCGACATTCTGTTGATTGAAATGTCTGGAAACAAAAGCATACCATAGATTTATTGAGTGCAACATTGTCATGTGTGTGGCTCCCAACCTTTTTAATCAGGCGTCCTCCCACCGCCTTTTTAGAAGGGCCCCTATTGTGTCCCATCCATATACTGTATGAAACACAAAACACAGCAAACAACACAGTTGCTGTGGTGGATTCTTCTTACATGTAAATCAATACAACACACAGTAATTCTGCCGCTGGCAATGTTCAGGCTTCGCGTGTGTGTTTGTTCAGTAGATTTGTCCAATTGTGCGTCTGTATCACTCCCACTAAAAAGCCACAAAAGACATTTTAACTATGTTGTTGAGATGGAACATATACTCAAGATCAGGCTCACATGAGCATGTACTGCTATGTGTGTTTGTTTCCTACCTAAACACAATTGAACAAATCATAATTAGCAGAAGATTCCCAACTCTGTCTTTAAGTGAATATTCTTTATACTGTTTCACACAGTAGTTACAACAACAGGGAGCGATAAGAACAAGACACAACGTGTGCAAACCACAGAATAAAGGGTAATAACATCAAGAAAACACTCATTATCAAAATGGTCGTGGATTTATTTTCTGTTGAACCAGCAATCGATTAATCCTTTCAGCACTTGTTTTACCGTTATACAGCTTCTCCATATGATGTGCTGTAGATGTTCCTCTGTGATGAAGCTGTGCTTCAGTGTGAGACATTGTCAAAACGATTAGAAAGTATCCACACAGCTGACAAGAACTGTCAACGCATTGCATCAAAGTGAATCATGTGCCATGAAACACAACATCGCTGCATATACATCAGGCTGAAAATGTAGCTGAGAGTGCCTGCAGCACATTCACTCGATTCCATTGAGTGGAGAGAAGCTACTTAAGCTACAATACATCTGAAAGCTACACTCACACTGATTTCGGCAGGCTAAACATATCAAAGCACTGTCTTGCTCATATTAATCATCTGGATAAGGGCCTTCCTCTCCTCTATCCTAAGACTTGAGGGTTATTGCTATGCATCTCTCTAAGTAAAATCCAGTGAGGGGGATTTTAAAAGCCCTCCTACCTGGAACATAACAAATCCAAGACATAGCTTCCCAAGTCTTTGTGCTTTTGTCTCACGGTGGCAAAGGAGGACGAAGATGTATTCAATTAAATCTCTTTAAAGAGAGACAATAGGTACGATTGAGTTGTGTTTGTTTGTTCTGAGATGCTGATTGAAAAGAAATAAAGCTCAATGTTAGACCTTGAACTAAAGGGGGAGAGTGATGGGAAGGGAGTCATGGAGACAGCATCGGGTCCTTAGGAGAGGGCGATCACTGAATGTTTGTGTGGGGGAGTCAAGGTTCTCCATGCGAGGTAGGACGAGGTGAGATTAGGTGGAATGGAAGGAAGCCAAGTGCTACATTAAACTAAGTAGACGGTTATCATTGTGTTGTATTTAAAGGGAAAACACATGCTTCTGTTTTTAGTGTGTGGAACGACAGCGCTGCAGTATTCACAGTCACAGTGTGGTGCTCTGTCTATGGTGTTATGAAGAGATGCACGATATGGATTATTTTCAGCCGATACACATAAACGATAATTACTACGATGAAATAATCATTTTTGCATTTTAAAAAGAAGTTCTTAATCTGTAGTCTTGAGATGATTAATGAAGAAAAAGCAAAGTTGTCATCCACACATTTGTTTTCATATTTTGGACTTTTCGAAGATTTTGGCCTCAGCGCCGATGTTTAAAGGTGCCCTGCATCTTACCTGTTCCTGTAAACTATTACCTCATATTTCATTTCCCCCCCTCGATTCCTCCACGTTCCTTTGCGGTCTTCTCCCCGGAGGAGGTGGTAAGTGGTAGAGACGTCCAACATCTATTTCATGCAGGACTCGAGCCGTAATAAAGCAGCCCCAGAGCTCTTGGATTCTTGTTATGTGAGAATATATATTTCATGCTGGGGTGAGACAAATTCCTCCCTGCCCACTGCGTGTGTGGGTGTTTGTGCTGTGTTCCCCCAGGAGTTACCATGAAACAGTGTGTAATTAGGTTTTCACTCGCCCCTCTTCTCTCTCTCCCTCTCTCTCCCTGTTTGTGTCATTGGTTGTTTGTGTTTGTGCGTCCAGTCCCTCCGGTGATCCTGGTCTATCCAGAGACGCAGGCCCAGGAGCCCGGCGTATCTGCCAGCCTCCACTGCCACGCCGACGGCATCCCGAATCCCAAACTGCTCTGGCTGAAGAACGGCATGGACCTGCTGCCCAGATCCTCCAAACAGCTCTCTCTCATAGGTGAGGAGGTTTTGATTATTTTGGGAAGTGCTGTCAGCATATTATACATTTTAGCACATACTGTGCAGTGTTTTTTGGATTACGAACCAACACCACTGCAGTATGCCAACCCTGCAGATATCTTTATCAACTTAGACGGTGCACGTTGGAGCTTGAAAATCAAGCTGGTGTTCTGTGGCGCTAACTCCTTTTTTATTAAAAACCCAGCGGTAATATGTTGTTGTGCTTTTCATTCATTTGCATTCCATACCGAGGTGATGAAACCAAGATTGCGGTGACCTTCTTCAACTGTCTTTGTTTTGTTCCCTTGACAAACATACTTTAGAGGTGAATGAAAAGGGAGATTGAGAGAGTAAAATGAAATATACTGTGTGTGAGGAGATGGCAGCTACTCATCCAGGCTAGAAGACACACTCACAATATAAGAGAGAGGGAGCATGACTTTTCTTTTTATGGCCTAGTTCTCATTAAGGGAGAGTTTATTGGCTGTGTGTGGGTCATTACCTGTGGTAATAGCCTGTTATCAACCCTCAGACACTCAAACACGGGAGGTGCTGCGAGGTTCACCAACACATAAACACTGCCGTGGCGGCGGTTTCAGATTTGCCATCTAATGCGGGCAGTGGCAAGGGGCAGGAGTTCTACTGAGCGGTGTTTACATTAACAACATTTAGTTAAGTGAAAAGATTACAGTGGAAATTGTAGATTAAGTAGTTTACATTACCATTTTTATCTCGCCATGATTCAAAAGAATCCAAAGCACAGACGAGGTGTGATTTGCGCTTTCATCTCCACACATCACATGTAATGTCAGCAGTGTAATAAAGACACTGAAAAAAAGTGCTGCCTCTTTGCTCACATTTGGCTTCTGTGAAATGTGAATCACACACTGACAGTTGACAGTGAGGCGTATTGATTGTAAGCTGCAGTCGAACAGTAAAGAGAGTCGCTGAGTGGATGAAACCGTGTTCTGGAGCTGTCCCCGGTGCTGAAACCAGCTAAACAACACCCGGCCTGAAATGTTCCGACCGAGTGTTTAGTTTGTAATAACGCAAACCTCTTGACACAGCTACAGGGATGCCTTGATGTGTGACTTTATAAATCATTTTTTCTGACCCACATGCATTGTGGGAAGAAGGCCCAACACATTTAATAACCGCTATAATCACATCTCTCCTTAAGCGAGTTCAATGGATCGCCGCAAGCTGCAGTTGTGGCTGTTAAGTGAAAACTGTGAGTTCAAAAATGAACTGTGGGTTTGGCCCTTTGTCCATACAAATAGCCTTGATCCTTATTTAATAAAAAACATATATTTATTATACCCCCATTGACTCCTGTGTGCACATGCCCTGTTTGGCCTTTCAGTAATAAGCCGGTAAAGAAGAACTCACTCCAAGTCATCAGGAACTGCTACAAGCTTGCAAAGAAAGGATAAAAAGGCTAATTTAATGAATGGTTGATTCAGTGGTTTTCAATAACAATTGATCAGAACGTAATTATAAATTAGAACTAATTAAAGCGGTGTCTCATTCTATGAAGGCCTGCTTCAAGGCACTTTTCACTTCAAAGCATTTCACATTTTTCTTCTGATAAAAGAGAATTACTCTCAGAATCCAGAAGACATTTCACTAATGTGAAAAGCTTTGCGTCAACTTCTGTAACGTCTTGTTATTTTACAACCCAGTAGGCATAAATTAGAGGGTAGTGATCACTTTCAACATAAGAAAAAGAGAGTAACATTTGCAAGCGTAAGCTTTATTACCGTTTGCTAAATATTGTTCCTGCGGGAAGACAAGCACTCACAGTTTGTGAGCTTTTAGTTTAAAGTAGAAAAGAAAAAATGCTCGATGCTACAGCAAGCATCAGAGAGCCGGCCTCCCACGGTGACCTCTGTGTCTTAATGTAGCCAACGTCACCTTTCACGTCCATCTAACCTCACTCACAGCTGCTCAAACAATGCAGCTTTGTACAGTATGGAAAACAAGTGTGAAACTAGGCCTCAACTGGAAGGCAAAAAGGCTTTGTAGTAGTATGTAAGAAATGCAAAGTGTAAATTGTCTTGTTGAAGTAAAATATTTCAGGTTCTTCACTTTTAAAGGAGATGTTGATACTTTTTGACACAAGATTAAGACGTATTTGCGCCATGTTCATTTTTTAAGTGGGGTGTACCCGGCACAGGAGCAAAGAGATGTACTGCTGTGGACGGGCGTAGCAACAAAACATAACTTAGACACCTAAAGAAGTCAATATAAGTTTTAGTGCACGCTGTAATTAGAATATTTTGCCTTGCTGTCAGACAGCCCTTTCCTGTTGGGGATCTGAATTTGTTATATTCATCTATGCTCTCTTTAAAGCTACCACACTCCACTGACCATAACAGTCATTTTACCTCACATAACATGGAAGCTGCTGGTTGACAGCTGCCTCCGTCGGTTAGTTTGTTGATGTCGGTGCAGTGGTGGAGGGAGGTTGAACGTTTTTCATTTGCACATACCACCCAAAACTGATTGAAAATTGGCTAATTTTCCCTTTTTTAACTAAACATGAAAAATAAAAGCTACATCCTCTAAATCCTGAATTATGTTTTTATTTAGTTTTTTACATTTCTTGTGAAAAAAAGCATATCATTTCCAGTAAGTCTGGTCCAGATATTTGTCGTGCATCTAAGGTTGATAATTAATCTCACTCACTACATTATCTTCAAATGTATAAGAAGTGTACCCGATAAGGATTTCAAATAATGCAGCGACAACATACTGTTACAGTAACGCATGTTTTCCTCTTCTTGCAGCGAATGCAAGTGAGCTCTTGATTGGCAGCGTCCGGTACGAGGACACCGGCGCCTACACATGCATCGCCAAGAACGAGGTGGGAGTGGACGAGGACATCTCCTCTCTGTTTGTCGAAGACTCGGCCAAGAAGACACGTGAGTCATTGTCAGACTTCAACTGTTACTGTGGAAAGTTACAAAAATAAATAAATAAAGAACATTATATCTGTCAAAGAGAATGCCAAAAAGAAGTCTTCTTAAAGCAAAAATGACACTGGTGTAAATCCTGACATAATTGTAAGTAGTACTTAAGTGATGTCATTTACACAGACTACACAATATCAGCTCGACAATATCCCAACCTAACAGATGTGGGGAGTCACGCAGCACTAGTTTCTCATTTTATCCCATAATTCATAGCGGGGACAGGCACTCAAATCACATATTTGATGTGTCTTTGATGTTTGGTCTTTCAGCAGATTGCATCACTGTGACGAGTCACAAGTTAACCATCGCCACCCAGAAAGAGCTTATTGGGGCCCAGATGAAGTTAAACAGAATAATCGATGACTCCTGAGTGATCTCTCGATTTAGGAAGAAATATGATCCCGTCAAAAGCAGCGAGGAACGTTTTGTCGCTGTCGGATTTCATTTGTCCGAGAGAAATCACCTCGTCTGTTTCTTGGAAGAATTGTCTCTTTTTATCCCACATGGTGATTTCATGTTCTCCTCTCTTTTCTTCTCCGTTCTATTCCTCGATGGCTGAATCTGCAGTTGCAAACATTCTGTGGAGAGAAGAAGGTAATACATGACAGTTCTTTTGTGCTCTCGTTAGAGTGGAAGATATGGGTGGGCATGTTTTTGTGGCTCTTCAGGGCCTGCAGCTTGATACCTATACACCTTCCAAGATGTTTGCCGTACTGTCCGAAAGCATCACAAAGATGTTTTCTCTCCAGCAAAAACTTTACTTCAAGAATGGCTTTCCTCCGTGCATGCCCGAGGTCTTTCATCCTTTTTGCTCTCGTTCTCAGATCACCTGGGGAGGAAGCATTTACCCAGTGTGGTGACCACAAGAAAAACAACCTTGTGGTTTTCAGCAGTATCCCGTCTTTGTACTATATATATATATATATATATATATATATATATAAATAAATATATATATATATACTATTACCACATCATCAAGAACAGTTGTGCCACCGCACTGGAAAACCCACTGCGGTTTAGAGTGCAATACAAACACAATCTGCTTCGTATACATCACACAGCAGCTTTACAGCGGAGCCAAAGGCAAACAGTGTGGTTTAGAGTAGTGAGCACTGTGAGTTCCTTCATTAGCACAATGTGTGTGTTGTGTGTGAGCTTGTCTCTGTATTCACACATGAATTGCATGAATATATATATTTTTTGAATTTCTCCGGTGTTCTATGTAAATCTCGAGGCATTATAGTGCAGAAATATGTCTTAACAGCCTAACAAATCAATCATCATGATAGTTTTAGTCCACGCGTGCCTCAAGCCTGTTAATGTGCTCACGCTCATGTGATGAATCCCTGACAGTTGTAAAGAGCGTGTTGCTCATCCAAATGCCTCAACGTCAGACTTTGATCCTCGCTAACTCTTCAGCGGCTGTTTACAGAACGAGATGTGAGTCGTTCCCTCGAAGAGACGGCGCCTTTAATTTGACGGCTCCTGCTACAGTATGCTGTGGACATGTTGCTGACAGGGCCCTTTGTAATGGCTAGCAGCCGCACACTGCCCATCCCCGCTAACGCGATAGCATGCTAACAGCATCCTCGCTGTACGTCCTCCAGCGGGGGAAATTGAAATGTCCATCACAAATGTCAGATAAGATGGGAGCCGGGATTTTCTGCTGTTTTGTTCATTTGTATTTGTTGCCTTTTTTTTAAGCACATTTGTCAACGGTTCCATGTCTGCCTGTGTTCTCCTGCAGGGCTGAGTGTGGGGAACATGTTCTACGTGTTCTCTGATGAGGGCATCACCGTCCTTCAGCCCAGTGAATGTGAGATACGCAGACACATGAAGCGGACAGAGAGGATCGTTGCTACCTATGTAAGTGCACGTTATGTCTTTTTTCTTTTTTTTACTGTCAAGATGTAATGGTGTAGTAGATTCCATAGGATTAAAGTAGATTACACAATGGCCATGTATTGACTTGAGTAGCCTATATTTCAGTCTAAAAATCCCTCCATATGTTACTAAATAGATTTTAGGGTGGCAGCATCTGTAACTGCTGAGCTGCTGCCTTTCAAAATCAAATCATGTGCAAAGCAGAAAGATGTCACTTACATGCACTCAAACAATCATGACACATCAGGTACACCGCTGAGCATCTTACTCAGGCAGCAATAGGTCTAATTAGGTTTTGGTACCATATTCCAAACAAGCTCAGCAAGGAACGAGGTTTCATGCTCAAAACAACCACCACCTCATTCATTCTAGGCACAGAGCTGTTATTCTGTTTTAGGGTGGAAGAAAATTGCCAGCACAATGAAGTTCCCTCTCTGCCCCTCCCTGTTGTCAGCGTGGGGCTCCTCGCCTTACTAATGTAATGGGATTACTTGTGTCCATTAGTCAACTGTATTGACTGCATAGAGTCTACACCACCACCCTGAGGTTGTTAATCCACTGGAGAACATCCCTCTCACAGAGCAATGGGCTTTAGATGGTAAAAGTTGCTTGTTCCTCTGAGGGATTTGGGTTTTACAGGATCCTGTAATCATATTAGAGATCAATACAAACTCAATAAGCCGTGTGTTAGCCGGTTCCTGCTGTAAACAGCAGTTTCTCCACTTTGGTGAGGTGGAAACTCTTGAAACATAACCTTTGCTTGTGTGCGTGTGTGTGTGTGTGTGTGTGTGTGTGTGCACACATGAATGCCTTGCCAGCAAAGACAGCAGGCTGCAGAGAAATCCACACCGTGGGCTCTGTGCGTTTGGCCTTTTTTAAGTTTATGGATTAAACAATTAATTAATGAACAGATGAATCAATAATTAAAATAACTGATAGATCCAGATCTTACCCCCTAGTATGGCAGAAATAGGCTTAATTATGAACTGGCTCTCCAATGCAATGATCTGTTTTCCAGTGGTTATTAAAACATGAAATGGGACGTCACAATAAGTACACAATATGTATGTATAAAACAAATAAGTAATACAAATAAATGCTTGAATTGTTGGACTCTTGACGGAGTAAAGAGCATCATCCTGCTGATCTGTGACACAGCAGGAGATCTTGCCAACCTTCTCCTCCCTCTGCTGCTCTCTTCTTCCTCCCATCATCCTCTCTGCTCTCTGTTTGCTTCTCCCCCAGGAGGAGATGTGCCCTAAAGGAGAGGGGGTGTCACCTCAGCACTGCGTGTGGTCCTCAGCAGTCAACATCAGGGATAAGTACATCTACGTGACCCAGCCCCTCCTGAGCCGACTGCTGGTCGTGGACACTCAAGCACAGAAGGTGGTGCAGGTGGGTGGAGCCGTTATTCATGTCTGTCAAACACCGCAAAGAGTCAGATCATCTCGGGGATGAGTTAGTGACTGACGCTATGAAACATATGTGGAAAACTGCATTAATCTGTTGTCCAGTTAAAGTGCTCTCTGCTGCCGCTGTCTGCGCTCTCTCCAAAGATCATTTGCGAGGGAAGAACCTCCACTCTGTAACACCAGTGTTATTTTTATTTATTTATTTGTTTATTCATTCATTCATTCACTTACTTATTTACTTATTCATTTATTTACCAGGGACAGTGCACATTAATGCAACACATAACTTTAGCGTCAGTCTTTTAGACATAAATGTGATCAGAGATTTTACTATGCACTTTGAGTGGTAAAGAGTTATCATTGTAAGCTGCTGGACAGGTGAGATACAATGCTTTCATCTTTTGCGGTGCCATTAAATGATTTAAAATGATAAAAGAAGATATATTTGTATCTTAAAATCATACCTAGTGCTGCTTTTCTCCAGTATCGAGAGCTAAATTGAATTCTGGCCCAAATCTTTGGGGAAAAGGAAAGTTGGATGCATTCAAACCGTAGAAGCACATCCAGTCGATTTACATCCATGCAGCCAATGTTTGGCTACATGTCAAACAGTGCGTTCCATTCACCGCTATTGAACTGCCGCTGACGTAAGGAGACCACATGCAAGGGGAAATAAATCAAATGCACCTCAAGCGCTGGAAACAATATGGTGCCCAGGTGGGTGCCGGCTGCCTCGCCATTCATCTTGCCTATAACGGCTGTTTAGAGACTGAATCCCTCAGGTGTTCTTTCCAGGGTCAACATCATTAATACTGAGGAACGGGATGAGAGGAAAGGGAGGCGGCAGATGAGAAGGGAGATTAGTAACAGTCTGAGGAAAATGAATGCAAAGAATGTTGTAATGTAAGTCTTATTATTACATGAAAACCAAAAGAATGTGAAGTGATATAATGAGAGGAGAAACAGAGTTGTGTCTCTCTGGCACAACATTTGAAGTTCAGGTCGAGACCTCTCGGTGTGTTGCTGCCCACCAGCTTCCCCTCTTCCTCTCTTTCCCCACCCAACGCTGTAAAGCTGCTCTCTCCCCTTGATCGCCCGATCGCTCTCTTGCCTCGCCCCCTCTCTCCTTCTCGGAGACCCTCCCTGGCCTTTGGGTGCAGGAGGTTAATGCATCCTCCTCTTTTTTCCTTTCTTCTCTTTCTCTGTTATTTCAAAGCTATTTGGGTTTTTTTTTTTTACAAAGCACGTTTGTAGCTTCCTTTCAACAATGACCTTTAAAAGAAGAAAGAAGACGGCATACAATGAATGCACTTCATATACTGACAGAAGGAATGCGTGGACACAACAATTAATTACATTTCTAAATGGTAAAGTCAGAACGCTGCATTAATTATCCTCACAGAGGAGACCAAACACAGTGACCTTATGAAGTATGAGATTACACCAGCAAGGTTTATTTGTAGGAATACACCCAACCTTATTATCTTTAGTCATAAACTTTGACTGTAACGAAGAAGAAAGTGTAATATTAGGGAGGAAAACACACAATAGATGTCACATAAACAGGAGCTCCATCGAGCTCAGGTGTTTTTTCTACCTCTCGTGAAAAGTTGTCTTGCTTTTCCTGATTTCCAGCAGCCACTAGATGAATGCCATAAACATGTGGAGAAGCTGCACTAATATAGGCTTTCATGTATTTTTCATGCTGTTGCGCACAAAGGGATCTAACCTCGGCTCTGATGTGTCAGACCTGTGCCAGGTAAGACTCCCACTGAGTATGAAAACAAACGGCACATCGGCTAATTAAAAAGAGAGCCAGATGGCAAAGACCTCTGGTTGTGTACTCATTTCAACACACTTTGGTGGATTATTTAGTCTCGCAGAAAGTCGGTGGGAGGTGGCAGGCAATTGTCAATTGGCTTTTTCTTTCACTGAGCTCAAATGAGCATCTTGTTTCAAACTGTTTCAGAAATACTTCACGATCTTTGAAGATAAAACAATGTGGTTTGTTTGTCTGTTTTTGAGCAGGATTACAGAAAAACTACTTGTAAGATTTTCAGGAAACTTCAGGACCTGTTTCTGATGTAAGACAATGTGAGCAACATTTTGTGTTCATAAACGTTGTTGGGGGCGACTCCTCCGGTTGCAAAAAGAAGTCTGATTGTATAGAAGTCGTTCCACTGGCCCACTAAATGGCAGTTAGGGTTCCTGTTGACATCTCCTAATAATAAATGACATTTCTGAGTGACGCAGCTTATTCTGAAAATAACAATGTATTCGACATCTAGTGACTCTGCTAGAAGCCTGTACCTGTTTCAGAATCCAGTCCATTGACTCTCGTTCTGCTGGATTGTGGCCTCGCCTCAGCTTTACCTCTGCTCCCATCATGTAGAGAGCTAAACGCAGGCAAATTCAGACACGCCGTCCACCATCTCCACATAGTGTACATACACATATGCTGAGTTGACACTTGGCTGACCGGTGCAGAGCGGAGGGCTGGACCTCCCATTACTGAACACAGAGCTTGTGGTCTCGCTCCACTGGCGAGGGCGTCAGCGGCTCCCTGTCCACCCGGCCAGAAGCAGGGTAATGGATTGTGTTATTCCTTGTTGTTGACATTGCAGCAGACCTGAGGTTGAACACACCCCACCTCCACATCTCCGTGCTACTCTTCCCTTTCTCCCTTTCACTTTTTCTGCAAGTTATTCTGTATTCTTTCTGTTATTTCACCTGATGTGTGTCAGACGTCTTCACTAAAAACCTCTCCAGCAGAAACGCAGTAAAAGTGCACATGCTGTCAACGTTTTCCTTTCAGTTTCTGGCACTTACACCTCCGTCCTCCATTCCATCGAGACGTTTACCCCCCGAGTATGTTTAATAGGTCGGGTAGAGTGCTGGGGTTTGTTTCACCCAATCGTTGCAACTTCCTCTTAATTTGAACACGTTTAAATCATTACAGCAAGCTCCGTACTTACAACGCATTCATGCAAGAGGACTGCAGCAAATTGCAGATACATTTCCAATTGAGTCATTTGTGAAATTGCGTGGAATCAACGTTCGCAAAATTGATTTCTGGAAACTGGCCCTTGGTCCTCTTCACATTTGCAGTTCTTACAAATGCGTTTTTGCATTCAACAACATCCCGTTTTTTGCTGCCATCCATTATTTTGTTTGCCCCAAATCACCCTGTTTGTAAAATATCTCCTTTAGAAGTCTCCTTTGTATTTGTGCTTGACGAGTAGAGCATGGAGGATGTTGCTGATCTTACTGGTGGGCTGGTTCAACCACAGCTTACGCTGGGGACTCCCCGTTGCTAAGGCTTGTTGTTAGGTTTGCAGTACTGGTGTTTGTTTATTTGAGAGCAGCACAGAGACAGAGGTTTGTTTGTTTAGCATGATTTTAGATGCTAGGATTGCTCAAATGTGATTATTGAAGAATCTGTGCCCACAATATGGGCCAACAATAAGCTAATCATTCCAGATTCCTCTTACTTACATATAATAGTATTTTGTTAATATTTAACATTGATCAACTTTTGTTTTTGCCAGTATAACTTTGATTTATTTATATATATATATTTATACTTTATTGTGTCAATACATATTGAAACAATCTGTTATTCAAACATCCTGTTATTATCATCACCTGTTAACACAGTGCATACATAAGCAAACAAAACACAACACAACACATACAATAGAAATAAATGAATAAAACGAAATGAACACGGAAGAAAAGGGTTCCAGTTGATAGTAGACCTCCTGTTACTACTGAGACGGTTTTGTTTATTACTTAAGACGTCTCCACAGAACGGATCCTTCTAATATGTCGTTAATATTTATATTATATGTTGTCAGTCAATTATCTTTACTTCATTTATAGACAGAACAACTTTTTTCCAACAACCTTTCGTACATATCAATTTTAATTTAGCTGAAGAACACTAATGTGTTCCTCGCTCTGTCCATCTCTTCCAGGCTGTAACAACAGATCCCTTTCCAGTCAAGATGCTCTATGACAAGTCACATGACCAGGTGTGGGTCCTAACGTGGGGGGATATGGACAGAACACACCCAACTCTTCAGGTAAGAACGCTTGTAGTTTTCTCTACAAAGTCAAAAATCGATCCATAAAGCTGCACTAGATAGAAACAACAAGAGATAACCGACACGTTTAGAGTGTTTGCTTCTCACTGTTTAGTCCTTTCCTGTTTGCAGAATATTGTTTTAGTAAACGAATCCAAAACTAGAATCCACTTTTTGGAAAATGTAATGAATGTGTTGATTCCAGTGCAAGAAGTTTGTCTCTATTGCAGCCTCATTGTTTCTATCAGGCTGCTGATTATCTACTTAAGATCTAGCCGAGTGCAGCTTTAGAAGTATAAAACAGCCCTTCTTTATTATCGTCTTATTACCAACACACACCCAGACACTTGTTCTGTGGTTGTATTTGTGAACTCCGATGAGCGATTATTTACCGGCAAGAATATAATCTATATAAACTGTAGCAAGTCCACCAAGCGGGGAAACAGAGCCTCATAACTAATTGAGCTCCGTTGTGTTCCTGCGTGTCCGCTTCATGTGATGAGTCTCTAATCTATGTACGGTTTACAACATTTACCAAGACAGCAAAACAGCAATTTACAGCTGCGGTGCTGTCGGCTGGTGCCTGGCGTCCCTTTGGACCGCTGGTGTTGGAGGCTTCACAGATGAGAAATGATCACAGGTGTGGTTGTATTTAATCCACCTCGGGGGGATCGGGTGAGGCGAGGGAAGAGAGAGGAGGGTGCAGAGAAGGTCGAGGAGGTGGAGGGGAGAGGGAAGCGAACAGAGCGGGGGCCCCGGGGGAGAGGCATGATGCTGTTTTTATGTATTTATATGTGTGTGTGTGTTTGCAACAGTGGAGGACACTGGCACGGGTAAAGTCACCAAGGGATCCCATTGTAATCTCAGTAATAGGCACAAACATGTTTATTGTGCTGCTTTGTCCCATTGGAGGGACGGATCCCATTATAATCATGTGAGGTGTTGTGTTCAGGCTTTACTGTTTAGGGATTGGCGAGTCTATGACACACTCAAATGTACGGCTCTTCAGAGGATCTGTGGAGTGGAATGACTCATTTTATATTCAGAAAATCACTTGAGTGCAACAATTCATGCATTCATGCTTTCAGTGCTGTTTGCATTGTTGGTTCTGAACACGAGTGGTTTCATGCAGATATTATTTATGTTAATCAGTGGTTGTGTAGCTGTTAATGATGCAGTTGTTTGTCAAATTGTCCCTAAATTACACATTCTTTGTGATTCCATTTTTAATTATTTTTTAAAAGAGACTATTTAAAAAAAGCTTGTTTTGGATCTAAAGGTGTCACTATGGTCTGGCAACAAAGAGTAGTGACAGCTGTGTGTGGGTTTTAACAATCTGCATGGCCAAGTAGACCGTTTGTGTGTGTGTGTGTGTGTGTGTGTGTGTGTGTGTGTGTGTGTGTGTGTGTGTGTGTGTGTGTGTGTGCGCATACAGTTTTGCACCTTTCCCTCACACTGCTAGCACAGCAGTGTGTTGTGTCTGTGTAGTTGTCCCAGTTAAGGTGCGCACTTGTGGCGTTTGTGTTGCGAGTTGTTTTTAAACTTCTCTCAGAGGTTATAATCATAAATGAAGCAGAAAATGCTATGAAAATATGTTTTTCATCACAGACGAAACAATTTTCTCCTCCTATAATTTGAAAACAATCAGAGTACAGGGAGCAGCTCTGCATAACATTGGTGGCTGCTGCCTGAACCGAGGAAAAACACATTTTTGTGTTTTTCATTATACTCATTTCCCCACTTCCTGCACTTCTTCAGGAGTAATGAATAATTAGAGAGCAGGGGATGAATCACTCAAAAATGCAATTGCGGGGAAACTGCATAATGGGATTGGAGGCCACATGGATCACACCGCAAATAAACGGTGTGATAATGTCATTATCGTTTGGACTGAAAGTAATTGACCTGTTCGGCAGCAGCCCGTCACCGCCTCGCCTCGGCGGCTCATACATGTGTCTGTGTTTGCGAATGTCAAAGTGTGCGCCCGCGCTGAGTACGTGTGCGCTCAGCTCGGTGCGTGTGGTATTTTTAAGCATGCCAAGTTTTAGGATGGCTCAATATCTCTGTGTAAACATCAGAGGGAGGGTGATTGACAATTCATTAGAGGAGACAAATGGAGGGATCTCCGCCGGGCAGAGAGAAACGTGCCCTTTCAGTCAGTCAGTCCATCTACGTGCCAAGAAGACATTTAACTCACGGGCCCTTTGTTTCTCACTGCGCACACAGGGACACCGGATCGTCCGTCTGTCTTTCTCCCCATGAGGTTCGCCAAATATGTGTTTAATACTGATTATTATTATGAAGTAAATCATTATTACTGGAAACAACACGTATTCCAGCCAGGCCGGCAAAATCATCTCCATCGTTTAAAGTTTTTAAATCTCTTCGTCAAATGGGGTTCTAATAAGTTCGGGTTTCTTCATGTTTTGTTTGTCTTTCTCATTTACTCGACCGGCCACTCCAGTCGTATCACTCTTTAGTGTGAACAACGACAAAAACCTTAAACAAAAGAAGCCAAACTTACTAGATACCTCACTAGAACTGTCGACTAATAGGATATTTACTCTTTAAATCAGGGGCATCTGGTGGCCTGGTGATGAAGACACGCATCATATAACTGCAGTGTCCCGAGGTTCCGTGCTGTAACCTTTGCTGCGTTTATTTTACCGTAAACTGTCCGATAAAGTAAAGAAAATACCAAAAACTAACATTTTAAAACAGAGCTCTCATCAATAGATATCTGATGAAAGAATAAGTGAACAAGACTGTGAATCTGCAGACATTGGAAGGCAACGAATTCATTCAGTATGTGAGTATAACACACGAGTATCTGATGTGCATTTCAGCAAACATCTGTCTCTTTCTTTCTTTGTTATGCATCTATGAATATATGATACACGCCTCAGGGAATAAAACAAAGTATTCATTTTAGTTTCAAAATTCTGCATTGATGTTGAGCAACAAGAGTCCTCCAGGGATTCCATCACGTGCTTTATTGCTCCCCTGCAGCAACTAGACGAGTAATTCTGATAGTATAGTGTTAGGGTTATGCCTCGTAAGATTTATTGAATTTTCTAAATGACACATCTACTCTGGAGCATGTGAGGAGTCCCATCTTATAATGGTGGTCTCTAGTTAGATAGGAAAGTTTAAAAAAAGCTACTCAAGGCTTCTGTACTGTGCTCAGTCAGAACCAAATCCCCCTCAAGTATGAGCCAGCGAGGCAGGGCCAGAGTAAGACTCCATTGGGCTTCGTCGCTCAGTGTGAAATCCAAAACAAGAGCAATGACAAAGAGAAGGCAGTGGCATTAAGTGGAGAGCACCTGCTGCCCTGGAGACCTCAGCAGCTGCCTAATAATACAAGAGTGATACTACACCGAACCTCATTAACTGCCCCCATTGTATTCTGCAACTATTTTTTAATGAGGATTCTCTTCATGTCTCTCAAGCAGTGAGACACCAGCAGATCTATTTGGTTAAAAATGGATGAGATGGAGAAGGAGAGAGAGAGAGCGTTGTTGAGCAGTATCGCAGCAGTGCAGCAAAAGCAACAACTCTGCACCTTAAAGTGCTCTATTTATTTCCTTGCATGTGATCGTTGTGAGGGAGGAGTGTGGAGTCTGGCTCCCCACCGGGCATCAGGTAGATGTTCAGCAGTAGCGGCGTAGGCGTTGACATCAAAATAGATTTTTCGCTCCGTTCTCTGCCTTTAAAACAAAATCCAAACGCTCTCCGGCAACATCTGCAGAGGTGTCTGAACCTAGAGCTGAGTTTCTCAGAGAATGTATAAAGCGTGTAAAGTCAGAGGGTAAAGAGCTGCTTTTACTCTGCAAGCAGCAGCAGAATCTGACTGCTTGCTTTTAATAAATGCAGTCCCACATGTGTCCCATAAACAACCGCACTTGTCCTTGACTGTGACCTGATCATTCAGGCATGCATGATGAAGCATGTGTCATGGACAAGGCGGTGCATCATCACAAGTGTGCGTGTGCACTCCCAGCCTTTACAAACATGCTGATTCAGTGCCAGGTGTATGACATGAGAGATGAGGCTGTTGTTGTTGTGTCGGCTTTTAAGACAACCATCTTTGAATAAGATGCTTTATCAGAGAACTGAGGTGGGGCCACATCTCGTCGGCCCAAGTCGTACACTATAGATGTTTATCTCTTCCGGGATATATGGGCATGTCACCTGAACGAGCTCCGGCTGTTAGGACCTGAGATATGAGCCTTTATTCTGATGAAGGTCACGGGTTTAACCATCACAGCAGGAAGATTCTCTTTGAGCAGGACAACCAGGTTGATGCTGATAGTTGAGAGTTTCAAAAGTAGGGATCCCTAATTAGTTCAACAGTTAACCGAAACAAGATGCTGTTTCTAAATTAACATTTAATTATTTTACTATATTGATCCCTTTAAGGGGGTTAATTTGTCTCTGCATTTCACCCATCCCTGTATATAGGGAGCCAATGGGGTTCAGTGTATTGCTCAGGTACACTTCGACACGTCTCAGTGGAGGATCGAACTGTTGACCTTCCGGGTGCCAGACAACCCTCTTAAGTCAGTGAGCCACGGTTCCCCCCCTAATTAACATTTATTTGAAATGTATGCTCTCTTATTTATTGGCATATTCGTCTGGGATGAAAGGTCAGCCTGGCCGATTGATCAGTCAGCTCTCCACCAGTAGTTCCCAAAGTGTGGGCGAGCGTGACCGGGGGAAAATGTGATGCAGATGTTGTAATGTTTGCGGAACAGTAAACATATCGACTATCATGAGAACAATGGTGTTCTTTCAGACAGACAGTCAGTGGGTTTACAGAATGGACAGAACAACAGACGATGCTTCTGAGACGAACGAGAAAAGGTCCTCAGCTGATGGTGATCAAAATAAAATATCAAAAAGTAGGGCTTTAATTGGTCAAATTATTGTATTAATAACTTTGAGAAGCGTGACCTTTCACCTTATTATTATTAGTAGTATAAATACGATGATAATTTCAACATTACCAACATATCTAACAGAATGTTCAGTCCATAATTGCTGGCGTTTATTCTTTCAAAAACCACATTCTCACTGCGTCACCTCTACTTTTATTATAACCACAATAACCGAAAATCATATTGTCCCATGTTTTCGGGTGATAACGTCGTACAATATGGCGACAGCTTGATTGGTAAACCTCATTCAAAGTTTTAAATGTCAAATAATGAGATTCGGTGCAGCCCCATGACGAAGCCTACACTAAAACTCAATCTTTATTTGATAACAATGTTCAGAAATGATGTCTCATTTATTGCTTTTCCCTTCAGTGATTAGTTTATATTTGTTTTGTCCTTTTTTTTTCAACAATGTAATGAATGAAAGTATTGTGCAGCGCTCTTTGGTCCAAACTCAGTGTTTGAACACAGACTCGATCCTTTTTCTTTCTCTGCTGCTGATAGAATGTAAAATGTAAAACGTCACTTCACTTATAGTTGTTATATTTCTAGGTATTTAGTATTAATGCTGTACTGTGCATTGTCCACAGGTAATCCCTCAGGCCAGTGTGGGAGAAGTACATCACGCCATCCGCACAACTTTCCAGAGGGTCAGCGACTTCTTCATTCCTCCAACCAACCTCATCATCACCCACGTGAGGTAAAACGGCACACACACACACACACACACACACACACACACACACACACACACACCACATTCAGCCACCTCCGACCTTAAAACACAGGCGACCTCATTGCTCACTCGTCACGGCTGTCCCTCTGAAGTGAAGGAGAAAAGAGCAGATGAGAATCCTAATGAGAATCTCGATGTGTGTTAATCACTGCGCCCTACAAACCTAGAAAGGCTATTAACCTTTCTTTTGAACTTTGTCCATTTAGGTTCGCCTTTGTCTTCCTCAAAAATGAACCTGCGGTGCACAAGATCGACCTGGAGACCTTCCACCGCGTCAAGACCATCAGCCTGAGGAACTACAGCTGCGTACCCGTCAGCATGGCCTACACACATCTGAGCGGCTTCTACTTTGTCCAGTGCCAGAGCAAGAACCGCCTCCAAGCCCCACCGCAGCTCCTCATCGACAGCGTGACGGACACAGTGATCGGTCCAAACCTAAACATCACAGGGCAGCCGTTTGTATCGCCGGACGGCCGCTACATTGTGACGCCTGACCTGGAGACCTCAAAGCTGATGGTACAGACAGTGTCTTTCCAGGGCGAGCTGGGTCTGAGCCATGAACTGGACGAGCCCGTAGCTGTCTCTGATCTGGCTTTCCAGCCGTCCTTCACGGAGTCCAACCAGCACGTGGTTGTCGCCACCTCGGGCTCAGGCACGGACCTGCTATTCGCCGATCTGTCCTCGGGCCGCACTGAGGTTCTCCGGAGCCTCAAGGAGCCCCTGGCCCCCCAAGCCTGGCCCTGGGGAGGCCCCAACCGAGTGGTGGTCTCCAGCGGATTGTTCGGACAGTACCTGGTGACGCCGTCAGCCGAGTCCCTCTTTGTCCTGAACGGCAAACAGAGAACGCCACACTGCGAGGTATCAGACATCAAGAGAGGGAACACAGTTGTCTGGGTCGGCGAGGTATGAGTCAAACAGAAAAACAGAAAGCCAGAGACGTAGGATTAGGGACAGACATAAATGGTATTAAAAAAAAAGGAAAGGTCAGGCCAAATGACCTATTGTAAGATTTATGTGAACATAAGTTGTGGACTCAACCCTGGGACTGAGCAAGAGGGATACATGCCTGGGTTTATTGTAACAAAAGTACACTTAAAAATACAGTAATTGAGAAAACATTAAGAAAACCTGTTGTGATATTTCTATTGGGAGAAAGTGTCAATGGCGTTCAGTGCAACAGTGATCTATGTGCACTCAACTATACAGAATTGTACATTATTGCACTTCCTTCCATGTTATCACAGCAAATAGGCACCTGAAGAGGGGTTATTAACGAACTATGAACTATGCACAATGCTCACTTTTTTTAGAGTAAAAAGCTTTTCCGATTTTGTTTTTCTCAACAATGTTTGTCGTTCTCACCAGTGCTGCATATAATCACCACAAACCGTCCGTCTGTCCTGTCTGCCTTTAGTGTATGTGTGTTCTGAGTCCTTTTAAAAGCTACCAGCCCGTCCGTTTATTGGCCTCTGTCACGGTATTGTACTGTTTCCTCCCTCTGAAAGCTTTCATTCTCCTCATGCTGGCAGAGGTTGGCTTTATGCACACGTGTAATACCCTCTATTTGCATTGTCTATCCAAAGAGCTCGATCGGTCCATTAGCCGTCGTCAGTGGATGTTTCGCTTGCTGAGGGAGCCTAACCAGAAATGAACAGTACATCTTGTGGTCTCTTGCAATGGTACAATCTGTCTCCCACTGTCTCACATTCATTCTGTACCTGCAGCACAACTCTGTGCTGCGGAGCCTGAAAATGCCACTTAGCAGATTCCCTCAGGGTAATGACTTCAGTTTACGCTGACCCCACATGCTGAGGCTGTGCCAAAGTGGCATCAGCTCCGCTATCTGACTGGCTGTGAGCATTTATTCTTCCTCCCAGAGAGCCGTGCATCAACATTCAACTCCAAGGCAGGTAGACCATACTCGCCATGTGGTAGTTCTTGAGCTTCTAAAGGACAGGAACAGTTTCTGTATATTTAGCAACACACACTTGTTCTTTGGGGATTTGTCATTTGTATCTGGAGAGCAGCCACATTTACACAGGACAGAATGTCTCAGAACCAATCAGCCCGTTTCAAAACTAGGGATACATTTTTACAGACATTAGCGTTACATTCTGTTTCAAACATTCTTCCCGTTTCCAGGAATACTTGTTAAATTACTAAAATGACAACATTTTTACAGGTTTTAAACCTAATTTTGGAAAACAACAGTATTATCTGTGTGGAGGCAGTAACCGAATAAACACCAGCAACTCTTCGTCCTTCAAAATAGCAGATATGTTTTCTCTCTTTGGTCGAATCTATGTTTCAATAAGCTCATTCCCATTGCAAGCAAAATTAGTTTTCTCCCTAAATACGTATTTAAATAATTAATCATATCAGGTTGCTACTAATTTTAATATTTGAAAACTATCAACTACCCACATTATGTTTCTAGAGCTGTCTGGGCTCTACGAATAGTCAGAACATCTAAATCTATCTTAACTGAGCTTTTGTTGCTCGAGCAAATCAGCTAAAAACAAAAAACTAAAACTATGTCAACTTGCTTTTAAATTAAATCAAATAACAGACAGTGGACTATAGAAAGAGGAAACACTTCCTTGATCTTGGAAAGCTCTCTTGTACACGATATGTAATCACTGCACAAATACTCACAGCCTTTAGGATTCTGCAGTTGCTGACCTTCTCTTGGCGCGCCAAACATGTTCAAAAGAAGAGAGATTCAATGATACTTCTCTCTAAAGTATTTTTAGAGTCCTCAGACCAAAAACTCTAACTTTATCGTGTACAAAAAGTCAGAGTCCTTTGAGTAAAGTGTACTGCTGACATTACAGCTGGAGTCTTGTGAATGGAGTAAATCTGCTCATGTAGTCTGTTTGTTTCTTCTCCCAGAAACAAACAGCAGCCCAAATGAACTATTAATCATCACCTCCTAACACATAGCTGTGCCTGTAACTCCCCCAATGCGATGCAATGTGTAAGGTAGAAACCGTGCTGTGTGAGAGAAGATAGAGGTGAACATAGGAGTGAAGCAAATCGGTCGTTCTCGTTTGTGATTTAGGTATTTGCTGCTAATCTGCCGTGAAGATATGCTCTGGCATGAAAGCCTGTTTGATGAACTTTCTGAAGGCGATGACGTAACGATAGACCACTGTTGCACTGAGGAGAGAAGTACACGAAACTGACATTGTTTGTTGGATGGAAATTTGTTAAATTGGTAGCCCAGTTTTCTCACTGTATCAATGAAAAAAGTTAAAATGTTAAAAAAAAGTTGAGTTCTGACGCTTCCTAAAATCCCTCTCCCATCCAACGTCACTCTACCTGAGTCCTATACAGTATCGGACTACTCCGAGACATGCATGTAACACAAACAGACCTTCTTCATGACCACCGTAGACCCCTCAGTGATCTCTCATTGTCACACTTTTCCGCCCTCTCGTCGTCACGTCCGTCAGCTGATCTCTCAGATCAGCTTCAGCAGTATGACATCGCTACTAGAGCCAAGGAGAGCAAGAGCAAAGAGGCCGCGCCTGCATTCGCTGATGTAACTACACTATTGACTAGCTCATGTTGTTCGTGTGGATCTACCTTCAGTGTCACATGACTATTTACGTCCCTCTCCCTGAAGCGCTATGTGACGGGGCTGCAGAGCTGAACCGCTTGATGTGATAGACATTGATAGGAACCACTGTTGTAGATAACATTGTTCATGTTTAAAACACGTTCAGACATGACTAAACTGACTGTACAGTTTTCTTTATGCATTTTGTGTGTTCTGGTTTATGAGGGAATTGTTTTGTAAGAAAAAATCGAATTAAATATATTGTAAAAATCAGTCGTTTTGCTGTGTCTTTACATATATGTGTGTACAGTGTGTTGATCGTAACTGATGATTTGTTTTCAATGTTGATTAGCCTACAAATTACTGTCTTCAACCATAGTTTAGTATTTAAATGCCGGAAAAAAATCTTTTATGATTTATCAGTCGAAAACCCCAAAATATTTGATTCGTCGTGTAAGACAAAGAGAAGCACACAGCTGCACATCTGAGAAGCTCAAAACTGAGAAGTTTTGGCTTTTTAGTTTGAAACATGAAAACTGAAACAATTCATTCAGAAATGTACTAATTCAAGCTGCTAAACTGTGAGCATTTGTGCTATTCTGTATATTATGTAATAGTACATTTAATATCTTTGGGCTTCAGACTGCTGGTTGAAAATTGTCCCTGAAAAATTGTGTTTTTTCCCTTTTTTTCTGACAAAAATAAAACCAAGTGATTAATCAAGAAAGTTATTGGCAGATTATATGATATTCCCATTAAAACATTAAAAACATCACCAGTAGACAAACTGGTATCAAAAGTTAGATAACTGTAGCTCGTCTATGTGCTGAGTAAGACATTAATAGAAACCTAAATGTAAGAACAGGCTATAACTGTGTAATATATACTGTATTAACTGTAAATAAACAAGATCATCAGAAGACTAACTGTCGATACGTAAACATTCATGCATTGTGCGCTCCCAGGTGGAAACCTACTGGATTTCTTTACAGCTCCCAAAAAAATGAATATTAAGCTTTTAGATTGTCTTTGACAGCAGAGCGTGGTTAAAATAAAGAGTGCGTGTGTGAGAACAGTATCAGACACAAGTTATATAACACAAATGTGACAATACAAACTTTAAATAGCCACAAAAATAACTATCTAAATAAGTAAGGGAGAATAAAAATACATTCTTCCAACAAAACCTCCAAATGCTCACACTGCCAGTTCACCTTGAACGTGTTGTAGCTGACAAGGTGAGGTAGATGGACAATTTTAGCATCTGAAAAATGACTGGACATCTGCGGCAAGCCCATCCACGATGTGGCGTCCATCCTGTGTCCTTGCAGACATTGTCATTTATGGTCTTAGTCCACTGATTAGCTGGTATCGAGCTGGCCTTCACTCCTTTATAAGTTAATATAATCTATTGTCTTTCTGTGCTCCACTCGCTCCAACAACCCATGAACATTACTTGCTCTACTGAGGGACGCTGTCAATACACTCCGTCAGTGTCAGAGTGACAGAAAGGGCTGAAAGGCAGAACAAAAGACTTCCTGGAACCAAACATCGGTGAGATAGGAGAGCCTGGTCACACGGACAATAACAATCACGTTCACGCCTGCTTCAATTTCCTATGAACAGAACAGAGTGGAGACAAGAAGACAGGAGCTTTCAGCAGTCTGCAATGCTTACTGACATATCTCTGGAAAGACTACAACACACATAAAGTCATCATATTCCCTTCTGAACAGCAACATTGGAATAAATGCCTGTTAAATTTTGCGCATACTTCGATTATTTTATGAGTCTTGACTGAATAAATGTACTTCTCCAAAAACAAAAAAAGTTAGTTGTACTTTCACAAGTTCATTCAAAATGCTATTTTAGAATCCAGACACTCAAACTGAGGGAAATACTCACACTGACCCCATTTATTTTACATGGTCATCAAACAAAGAAATGGAGACAGTTAATGGAAACTACATTAAAGGCATTATGATATACAAGTAAAGGGACACAAAAACACAAAAACACAAAAACGTTATAGTAAAGTCATAGTATGTTGAAAAAAGTCACAGTATAGTATGTCGAAAAAAGTGAAAAAGTCATAGCATGTCGAAAAACTTGAAAAGTCACAGTATAGCATGTCAAAAAAAGTGAAAAAAGTCAT